CAAAAAAAAAAAAGAAGAAGGGGAAAAAACAGAGTAAACAGCCTCATCTTTCTCCCACAGATCGCCTGGTAGGTTTGAACTGCCAACCTGGAGGTTAGCAGCCTCGTGCCTAATCCACATGGGGTAGGAGCAGTTCGTTCATTTTCTCAGGATTATACTCGAAGCGGGAGGGTGATAAGATACAAGTAAGCGGAAAAGATCAAAGCTACCCCTGGTTCTCACCATCCAGTTACCACTTAGGGACCAACTTCCAGCCTACTTTCTAAAATAGAATTTATTTCCCCCACCCCCACCTTTTTAAATGTTGTGATTCAAGTCACTTGTTCTTTGTTTTTAAATATGTGTTTTGAAACGTTAGTAAAACCACATGGTCCCGGATTCCAAAGGTACAGTGGGGGTGACAATGACACGGTGGGACGACATGGGAGCTGAGTCCGGGAAGAGAGTGCCAGGCACCAGGAACAGCCCAGGTCAAGGCCCGGAGGCTCTGTCATGCATTGGCTGTGTGTGACTCTGAGCTGCTTGTCACCTCTGTGTGCCTGCATTCCCCATCAGTGTGCTGTATGTGTCGGCATGTCCCCCATCAGGGTCCATGCTAACGCACAGTGACTTCACGTGACCCCTAGATCTTGGAGTGGCCAGGTAGGTGACAGATGGGCTGACTTGAGACACATCTAACAGGAAGATGAGGGCAGACCTGACCTGGGGACGTGCGCTGCAGCCAGCATTCAGACAAGTACAGTAGCAGCAATTGAATGACTGACCTGGCCATTAATAAGAGGGTCCTAAGGAGTGGAGTGCTGGGCTTCCTGGCCGTGAGGTTGTGGGGTGGAATGAAAGGACGCAGGTAAAGTCAAGTCTCAGCACAATGCTGAGCTCTAGAAAGAACTCAGGTTAACCCCTAGTTAAGAAAACCAAGTCACAAAGCGGAAACGGTAACCCCAAAACACAACAACCCCCCCTGCCATTGCATCAATTCCAACTCAGAGCGACCCGGAGGGCAGAGTAGAGCCGCCCTGTGCGTTTCCAAGACTACAAACCTTTAGGGGAACAGTTCCTCGTCTTTCTTTCTTGAAGCAGCTGTTAGGTTTGAACCATCAACCTGGTGATAAGCAGCTGAACAGGTAGCCCACCACACCATCAGCACACC